GGGCGCGACACCGAGGGTTGCAATCCTGTTACCGGTCACGAAAAAAGACAAAAAGGAAAAAAAACAAAAAACCTGAAATTCTGGGCTGGCCAGTTAGCTCAGTTGGTTAGAGCACAGCCTTGTAACACTAAGGTCATGGGTTCAGGTCCCCATACTAGCCAGCCATAAAAAAATAAAACTGAAATTCTGGCCTGAAAACAGGGCTTGGTGACCCCAGCCCTAACTCTGCCACTAAGCACCTGTGATACAAGGGGAAGCTGCTTCTCTGAACCTCAGTTTCCTTACCTGCACAATGGGCTGATCATACTTGTTCTCCTCTCACAGCGTGGTGAACTTTAAAATGCTGTGAAAAAGGCCAGCCTGTGGCTCACTTGGGAGAGTGAGGTGCTGATAACCCCAAGGCCATGGGTTCGGATCCCTATATAGGGATGGCTGGGTTAGCTCACTTGGGAGAGCGTGGTGCTGACAACACCAAGTCAAGGGTTAAGATCCCCTTACTGGTCATCTTATTTAAAAAAATAATAATAATAAAATAAAATTCTGTGAAAATGATCTGAACTGCAGAGTGGTGGGTACATTGGAAGGTTGTTGATATCATGGCAATCTGCGACTTGGATTGCTCCGTAAGGAGGGGAAGGGGAGACTTCCATCAGGTGGGGGGATATGTGGATAATCACCCTTCTGCATCATTCTTTCCTCCAGAGCCTCTGGGGCAGCTAGCGAAGGAAACCCGAAAGTCCTGGCCTCATGCTGCCTGGAGGAGGTGGATGCCAGGACTGTGGCTCTGGGAGAACTAATGTCCTTCAGGGAACCCATTTTATACAATAGCATTGGCAGCAGAGGTTGGCGGAGACGAGATTTGTATTCCTCAGCTGAGAAGCACGAATGGCATTTCCTGAGCCTCAAGTACATGGGGCTATGTATGACATTCAGTTGTATCCCAGGGGGGCTGCTCCTCAGGGCTAAGGAAGGAGGTTGGGATGTGAGGAATCTTTCACCAAATGCCATAGAAAGTATCTACTGCAATGCCCTTAATTTGCATATGGAGAAACCGAGGCACAAAAGGTAACATGTCCAATCTACCCTTAATAGTAGACCCACTGAATACACCTCTCCTGACTCTCAGCTCAGTGTGCAGAAGTTCAAAAGGCACTGGACTAGGGCCAAGATCTGGATCTTACACCAACGGTGCCTGGCTCAGGACAAAATCATTTTCCCTCTCTGACACTTAGTCTCCTTCCTTGTCTAAAGAACTGGGATTGGGCAGGGATCTCAAAGGGCCCTTCCAGCTCTGACACTGTCTTTCTAGTAGAAGAGTCACAGGCTTTTCCTAGGACGAGCTGGTGAAGGTGTGAAAGGTCTCTGGGTTTGCAGTCCACGAAACTTCGCCGGAAGTGACCCCTGCCCAAGGATGCTTTCGTTGCCACGGAAACCGCCGGGCCAAAGTGGTCCCCTGCGTGCCGCTGAGGCCGCTGGGAAGATGCTGCCCTTCCCAAGATGGCGGCGGCGACAGGGCAAGGGGCGGGGTTCAGCGCCGTCAGCCTGTCCGGTCCTCTCCTCTGTTTCTGCTTTTCCATACTAACGGAGAGCTTCCGCCAATACTTGTCCTCTTTTCTGGTTCTGACAGTCCCGGGAGCCAGGGAGGGAAGAATTGTCTGCCAGGATTGGGACAAACACCCAGAGGGGAAAGGCGGGACTTCCGCCTCCTGCCGGAAGTGACGTGACAGTCGCGGCCGCCGCCAGGTGGAACGGCAGGTGGGTTCAGGTGCCATCCTGGCCTGGGCCCCGCTGTGGGACCGACGCTTCCGGTGAGCAACAGAGGCAGCTCCCGAGGACCTGGAGACCCGTGGGGCGGGCTCTGGGAGCGGAGCCCATCGCCCTGGCCTGGAGCTCCCCGCTGTACCTAGTAAGAATCACCTACCCCCACCCCCCACCCCGAAGACGCCCCCAATCCCCGCTCAGAGGCGAGGAGGAAGGCCCTGCTGTCCCGGATCGAGGGTGATGGGGGAGGGGTGGGGTTGGCATCTGGGCACTTCGATTCCCTAAACCCTACGTTCCTTTCTCTCCCGGAGCCAGTTCCCCATTCCCCTACCGAGCTGGGCAGTTAGCCAACCCACCCCAACTCTCGGGACCATGTTTGCAGACTTGGATTATGACATCGAGGAGGATAAACTGTAAGTATTTTATTCCCCCAAGTCCCGGGAGTAGAGGAGCCCCAGGTCCCTCATTTCCCTAGATTTCCCAGTTCCACAAAGCCTTGCTTCTCAGCTGTGGATCAGGTGTTGTACTGAAGCAGATTGTACTCCTGCCCTTTCAGGAGCTCACCATGTGGAGGGGGCTATGGACAGATTAACAGATAATTACAAGATCAGGTGTTGTACTGAAGCAGAAATGGACCCTGCCCTTTCAGGAGCTCACCATGTGGAGGGGGCTATGGACAGATTAACAGATAATTACAATTACGGGCCATAAGGGGGGTAATCGCATGAGCTGGCGACAAGGAGAGCAGAGCAGATGGAGCAGTGCTTCTGCTGTGGTGGTCAGGGAAGGCCTCACAGTGGAGATGGCAACTGTGCCAGGTTTTGAAGGGTGAATAGGAAAATAATAAACATAATTCCCCTCCAACGTTTCATTGGGATAAGTTTTCAATAATTAAACTTGTCTACCCACTAGAATATATCCTCCCTCAAAGCAAGGACTGGGTCCAATGCCTTTCTGTGTCCTCGGCATGTAGTAAATACTTGGCCTTAATAGATTGTTAGCAAATGTTTTTGAATGAGTAAGTGAATAAATGAAAATGTTTACCATAAAACATAAATAAGTGCTGATTTATAGTGAAAACTGAGAAGCAATTGAGTGGAGTAATTAAAGATGGGAGGTGGATAGTTTGACATGGGAAGACTTCCTAGAGAAGGTGGCCATAATGTTCCACATGTGCCTGAGAAGGTAACAAGGACAGAGCCTGGCTCAGATCTCAGCGGTTGAATGAAGGAAAGAGAAGAGAGACCTATTTTTATGGAGTGCCAGCTGTGGAACGGGTCAGTGTTAGTGTCTTCCATGTATGTTTTTAGAAGAATTCTGAGAAGTGGCCACATTCCCATTCTATGGATGGGGAAATTGAGGTGCTGAGACTGTGACTTACCCAAGTCCCATATCTGATAAATGACAGTGCTAGGGTTTGACCCCCACATCTGCATGACTCCCCAAGCTGTGCATGTTCCAGCACAAAATGCTGTCTTTCTTGCCAAGTGAAGAAGAGAGGCTGTGCAGCATTTGAAGCCTCTCGGGGATTCTGGAGGGCCCACTCCTTCCATCCTCCTTCCTCCAGGAGACTCAGCCTCACTTGCTTCTCTTTGTAGCGGAATCCCTACTGTGCCTGGGAAAGTGACCCTGCAGAAGGATGCTCAGAACCTGATCGGGATCAGCATTGGAGGAGGGGCTCAGTACTGTCCCTGCCTCTATATCGTACAGGTATCGGGCAGTTTGGAGGCAGGGGTGAGGTCCTGGATGGGGCGAGTCACTTCCCTACAGGGGCATGACCAAGGCAGGTTAATTTCTCCACTCTACAGAGCTGGCTCCTTTTCATTCTTGGCCTCCTCAGAGAGGCTTTCCTGATCACCCAGTCTACGTAGGCCCGCCCTTGTTTTTCTCTACCGTTTCAGTCTGTTCTTTTCCTTCTCGGCATTTCTCGCTATCTGTAATCATTTTTTTGTTACTTGTTCTATGTCTGGTTGCCCTAACAGACTCTTCACACTAATAGGCCCGCCCTTGTTTTTCTCTACCGTTTCAGTCTGTTCTTTTCCTTCTCGGCATTTCTCGCTGTCTGTAATCATTTTTTTGTTACTTGTTCTATGTCTGGTTGCCCTAACAGACTCTTCACACTATGAGGGCAGGGTCCCAGTTTGCTTTTTCACTGCAGTCACTATCAGGTACAGTGCCTGGTATCTAGTATCAATAAAAATGTCTTTAATGACAAAATTAACAAAACTGTCAGCCTTGGGTACTAGTCCAAGTGAAGTATAGGGGGAAAACTATGAAACAATAATGGCCTGAGCTCAAATGCAGGCTTCCCTGCTCACTAGCAAGTTACTTAACCTATTCGGGCCTCAGTTTCTTTATTTAAAGTATACAGGTATAGCATCTTTGGGTTCTTGAAAATTCAGCGAGCTGAGATGACACAATGCCTGGCACGTAAGAAGTACTCACTAAATAGTAGCCACTGTAATTTTTCTGGCAGTTTCGCATTTTCCCAGATGCTCTGTCAGTGGTAATTAACAACTCTGTGGTCCCTTGTAGTGGAAGCTGTGCTGGTGACACTCTTTCAGCTGTGACTCAGGAATGGGGACAGGCCTGCTGCAAGGCCTCCTTCACCATGTGGCTGGTCAGAGTCAGTGATCTTTCTGTAGCCTTGGAAGGACCTGGCTTGTACCCTGTTCTAACCCTCTCAGCTAGGTAGCTGATGGCAGATGGTGGCAGATGGGAAACTGTGGTGTCTACGAGGATTCTGCAAAGGAGTTACTTCTAGGCCTTGAAGACAGAGATTCCGCGATCTGGTCTTGTCTCTGCTCTGGGTGCTTCTTTCACGAGCATTTTGGCCTCCTCTGACCCAAGAGGCATTAGGGAGGCCTCCCCCAGGCCTGGCCTCTTTGCCATGTGCCTCATCAGCCTCTCTGTCACCTCTCCTTCCCCACCTGTTGGGGGTCTGGGGAACAGGTTTGAATAGAGTAATTGAGAGATGGGACGTAGATAGTTTAACAGGGGAAGACTTCCTGGAGGTGGTGACCATAATGTTCCACATGTGCCTGAGAAGGTGACAAGGACAGAGCTTGGCTCAAATCTCAGTGGTTGAATAAAGGGGAGGGAAGAGGGACCTATTTTTATGGTGTGCCTGCTAGGAACTGCATTTATAAAATAATAGAATTGATTTTTTTTTTTTTTAAAGATGACCGGTAAGGGGATCTTAACCCTTGACTTGGTGTTGTCAGCACCACGCTCAGCCAGTGAGCGAACCGG